GCTACCTGTATGTTCACACTGCACTCCAGCAGCCAGGAGGTCAGGTTCTCCCATACTGATGTCATTTGGACGCATCCCAAGACACTCTATTGACAGCATCTTGAACCAGTCCTCTGCCTCCAACTCTGAAAAATTCAAACCCCTTTACATTTGATGAAGTACTTCAGTTTGTCTCCATCATGTTTTGACAAAAGCTTCTTCTAAAGTTCATGTACCGCAGGTGTATCATGCTCCCTGAGCTTCAGCTAATAGTGCTGCATAGCTTTGTGTTTCTGCCTTACCTGATTCACAGGTGAATGTGCGTGAGGTGTCGTCTGCAAACACGATGGCTACTGCTTGTCGTTTGGTATCTCGAGGTAACCGTGTGATGTTCTTCACATTGCTAATTTCTGTCACCTAGGTAACAAGTTGAAGGCAGAGTGTTAACAAAGTGAAGATCACACAAAATATTTAGCTTGATCAATGTGAAGAAGCTGAACTACCGGGAATTGTGTGCGTGATAACAAATAAGAGTTCACTTTAATGAAACATGCTGGTTTGTGTGAAGCAAAAGATTGAAAAGACTTTGACAGTACAACTTCTTCAACTTGCTAAATGGAGAGAACTAAAAGCCTGTTCCGTTCAAATTATTCATGTTAACAATGAATAATTAATAAGTGGTTACCGGTACTTTGCATTACTGAAAGCACTTAACGGGGTTTTCAGAAACTAGACATGTAATCAGTTCTTAACATTCTTTACAGGAAATAAAAAACATCAATAATTAAAAATGCAAAAGTATTTCAGTCTAACACTAATTTATTTGATCAAACACAAAAGATCCATAACATTATGACCACTAACAGAGCAAAATAAATCTTGTTATTGTGGCACCTGCAAATAAAATTTACTTGTGCATATATTAATCAGACATTCTGTCCTTTAGGTTGATGTGCTGGAGATTGAAAAGATGGGCTTTGAGAAAGTTTAATGAGAGCAACCTAACAGCTGTCGCGGTTGGTTGGATTATAAAGATATACCTGCAGGATGCTGGTGAACATTCTCAGTCATCCAGGACATGATGAATTCAAAAAGCGTTCAATACAAAAACAACTGGACTTTATTTGTAACAGAAGACGTATCCCTCACTCATTGTTCTTTGAATTGAGAAAGCTCCTCAGATGAGGAGCGAAACGTCTTGTGTTACAAGTAAAGTCCAGTTGTTTTTGGTATTGAACGCTTTTTGAATACCTGCAGGACTTTCAAGTAATTTCCAGTTTGCTGTGGTCAGGACTAAACAAAAGTGCTCAAAGGACGAAAAAGTGAACATGGCAGCTGAGGTTCACTGATGCCTGTTATGAAGAAAGACTGACTTGTGTGGTCGGCACAAAGAAATGTGCTACTTTAGCTCAGATTATTTAAAAAATGGCAGTGCTTTTTATTTAATTTTTTAATAAAATGGTATTCATCACACCACAGACCAAAACATGCATGTTAGACTGATTGGTAACTCTAAATTGTCTCTAGGTGTGAGTGAGAGAGTGAATGGTTATTTGTCTCATTTGTTTCTATGTGTCCCTGTGATGGACTGGAGACAGTACCCTGCCGCTCGCACTGTGATTGCTGGACATGGACGCCGGCGACCCCCCATGACCCAAAAAGGAAGAAGCAGGTAAAAGATGATGGATGGGTGGTATTCATCACAATTTCTTGTTTTATGTGGGCAGTTAGGTCTGTGTCTGTCCCTGATGTAGTGTAGAAAAAGCATGGAGTCATAATGCACAATGTCAAAAAGACAGGTCAGCAGGACCTGTGTGCATCAAATGGGCCCTGCTGCCACTTTTATGGATGTTACTTTAATACCACCTACTGTACCAAAACAGAGTTGCTGAGCAAGTATAGTTCACAGTACAGCAGTAACATCTCTCATCAAGATAATGCTCCTTATTGATTGCAAAATGTGTTCAAGGATAGCTTGAGGAACCCAACAATAAGTGTGAGGTATTTAAACTGGCCTAAATACTTCAGATCTCATCTAATCGGATATGAGTGGGATGTGTTAGATAAAACCAATCCAATCCATGGAGGCCTTTTTAAAAACGCCCAGGACTTGAAGGATCTATTTATCACTAGTAGTTTTACGACAGATACCATCACGGATGCTCAAACATTCATGACAAACCATCAGATGTTTATTCAAATAAATTACTTGAGGTGCCAAGACTGCTCTTCAAACTGGGGACCAGCTTTTACCCTTAAAATCTAATATCTGTAATTTTACTGCAGATCAATGAATAATATAAAGTTGTTGTTTTTGTCCCATTTACTATCATTATAATCCAAGCAAATGGCAAAATCCATACATATTACATTCACTAGTACACTGAATAACACAGAGAGAATAACCTTCACATCAATGTGAAGAAGACAAAGGAGATGATTGTGGACTTCAGAAGGAACAAAAACA